ATATGTGAGGCATGAAAGGATTGCATTTGGCCTAATGCAATAGTAATACTCAGTTTTACGTGTCTCTCAATTCTCTCTTCTTACTGTCTTCTCTGCTTCTCTTCTATCTTTCTTTTCCTTTTCTTTCCCTTCATCTCTCTCTTTCTTTTCTCTATCCTGCAACAGAAACACTTTTTTCTGTTTTTATCTATTCTATTTTTGCTTATTAATTGTGTGTCTGTTGGGATGGGTGTTTTGAGTAAACCCCCTCATGTGTATGTTTTTAAAGATATATGATACAAATTATGCTATTGCCATATGTTTATGTTATCATGTAGAAATGAGACTGGATGATAATGTTATATGATAACTTCAAACGTATGAGATAGAATGACTGTTTTGTTTGTTTCATTTTATTTATGGATTTGTCCACATGATATGACAATGAACTATCAGATGGCTTATTTCGTGATTTCACAAGTTGAATAACTTGTTTTGGAAGGTTCTGAGTTCTATTATGTATTGAGGTTTAATATATAAGTTGGGTTGTGTAGAGCGCTCGTTGCTAATAGTATGCCTGTTGGAATTTCATGGGTTTTGAAATGAAATTCACAAGGGTATTATTAAGTAGAAGTTGATGATTTTGTCGCCACAAAGAGAGAGAGAGAGAGAGATCATGATAGAATCCAACATTAATAGGGAGAAAGAAGAAAGGAAAGTCTTTATTAAAATATGTAATCAGAATCTTACTTTACAAATTAATAAAGATGAAGGAAGATCTTTACTATTACTTGAATTTGAGCAAGAGTCTTAAACTCGAAACTAATATAGTCCAAGATTAATCTCCCAACTAGCCACTGCCTGATCTATAATATAAACATAGACATTAAATAAATAAGACAGCAACCTAGATCCTAACCAACATTGACTCAACTATGAGAAAATGCTACTTGAGATGTTTATAGATGATATCTTATTTGCATGCAACTGGAAATAAGTTAACAACTCCTATAAGTTTGCTAACAAACTGATCTCCTAAGACTTTACCCACTATCCCACGATGCATTGTGAATTTGGTACTCTGTTATATGTCCTTCAAGTCTTTAACTCTAATGATTTGGTCTCAGCTGTTAACTGACTTTAGCATTTGAGATGGACAAAATTGAGTCAATTCCTCTAGAGTAAAAGGAATTGACCTCATTTGATGCACTAGTCACCCTTTATGTAAACCTGAATACTCTTTGTTTCAAGACATAGGTTTGGAAAACTGTGATTTTCATGAAAACAAGGGTATGTAAAATGGGAAAAACTGATATATCAGAACAGTTACATTTAGATGGCATTTTCATGTCTGAAATACGTCCTTTAAGTTTTTAACTTTAAGTTCTCAGCCATTAACTGATTTCAGCAAATGAGTTTTTTTTTTTTTTTTAACCAAAAGAGATGGACAAATCTGAGTAAAGACCTCCAGAATAAAAGGGATTGATCTCATTTCATGCACTAGTCACCCTTGATGTCAACTTGTATGCTCATTATTTTAACACTTGGATCTGGACTTGTGTAATTTATTGGGTGAGCAGTTCTGATTCCATGGGAAAACGGGAAGTGGTTTTATGAGGTTTATTTATTTCAAGTCATGGCATTATTAAAGATGAAAGGGTTCAGCTTTTTGAGAAAGTTGGTGCTCGTTTTATTTCAATTATGCATGAAAGTGGCAAAAGTTCAATTATTAAACTAATGAAATTAAGTGGCAAGACTTTTATCTGGACAAATTAATTCGCATGTAGCACGATACTCTGTGATGTAATCAATAGGGGATAATAAGTTAGGAGGCTATCTAATTAGTTAGCAACTTGATGCAATTAGTGAACGTTAGTAAGCCAGTGGCTATATAGGTGTATGTAAGGCATGGAATGATTTCATTTTGACTAATGCAATAGCAGTACCTGGTTCTCATATTATCTATATTTTATTCTATTCAATAGATTGTTAGATACGGATTTAGTTAGTGCCCCATTAGATTTGACTTATTTTATGTGGACACCTTGAGGCAACAAAGAGCATTGGCATCCTATATGGTATCAGAGCATCAGTTAATCCTTTGATTTAGTTCGGCTTGTACAAAACCCTGAATATTGTGATGTTATTACCCTCTAGTAATCCTTAATACCTTAGGTAGGAGTCAAAGTTCTAGTAGCATTGTTTCTTAGACATAAGGATTGAGCAATTTGTCTAGTTACATAGTTGGAAGCAAACATGGTGGAGATAATTGTCTCCAATGGTCACAATAGTTTCTCATGTTCATTAGAGGCAAAGATGTGGAATATCTTCTTCTTCCTTTTTTTTTAATTATTTTGATTGTATAGCTTTCACTAGCATTTATTAGCCTTTATGTATATATTTGGATGTAACTCACTATTTTGATAAATGAGAAATACACTCTTTCTCCCAAAATTTTACATGGCATTAGAGTTGGTAATTCGAGCTAAGCCAAAAAATAAATAAATAATAAATGAGGGCCAAGCTTAGCAAATACTATTTAGTGTTTAGACCTATTTGGGTAGGCCCACATGGGTCGAAAAATTTGGGTAGAGCCTAATCGGGTTCAGGTTTGGCTGGAATACCTGAACAAAAAGTTGTTTTTTTAAAATATATAAAATATATGAAATATTAATTAATTCTCTATGTTTTAGTTCATTTTATATTAAAAAACCATATATTTGAGTGCATTGTTGCAGAGATTTTCTTAAAAAATTTAAAAATGTTCATATTATTATATTTTAAATAAATAAAAATATCTCAAAATAACATTTAAGATGTATTTTAATTTTGATTTTTCATCATTAAAACCCAAAAATTTTTTTTTTTTAAATTGAGTCTTCTACATCTTTTAAGTATTCGAAAAAGTATATTTTTATATTTTTTTATAAAATAAATTAATTAATGCTAAAGTAAAAAAATTAAATTTGTTTAAAAATGAAAGTTTTTTGATAATTCAGGTATTCAAGCCGACCTAAATAAACTTGAAGCCTGAAGAGGTTAGGTCTGAGTTTGACTATTTGAGCTTTCCTATAAGTTTAGGTTGGCTTGAATAAGCTCGTCTTGATTTAGCTCAATCCACTCGAATTGCTGACTCTATATGGTATTGGAGCTTGGTAGGCTCTATTATGGATTCAAAACTTGGGGTTTCTAGTGCATAACTTGGCGTTAGTCAACTCGCTATTGAACACAACATGGGGAAGAGAGATGTTGCTAGCTCTCACTCTCTGTCAAGGAAGGATTAGAGACCTCTGATTTGGCATTACCTGGAAGCAGCATGGCCATTGTCAGCATGTGTCCTCTACAAGCACTACTCTACTTTTCTTCAACAAAAATTGCATGTAAGAGTGTTTCAACATTTTTTTCGGCAATGACTTCCTTCTTCGCTAGTGAAGGATCATTTCTAGCCTATTCCCATTGTTTCATAGACATAAAGTTGAATCTGTTTTTTGTCGTCAAAATAGATGGGAACTGAAGAACTTTAATGGTAAAAAATCCAAGAATAAGGCATCAGGTCCTAAAAGTGATGTGTCTTGGCCTAGTAGAATTGATTTGTAGTAGGATTTTTATACTATTTTGATGATTGGTGATGAAGCGTACTAAACTCACCTGAAGTTTTTGAGTTTGACTTTACAATTGTAAGTTAGGCTTTGGATTTAGTATCTTACTTTCTAGCACAAAGAAGTAATTTCCTTTATGCCCTAAAAACCTCAAAAAACAAAACACTGTGGATTTTTGATTCTGAATCATCAAGTCATATGATTGATTACCAAATATTATCTTCAACCAATGTTCCATGTGTTGGGAACTTGAAAGTTCAAATTACAGATGGGTCTCTTGCTCCTATTGCTAGGAAAGGAAGCATTCATATTTCAAAGTCTATAACTTTGGAATATGTCTGTCACCTACCAAAAATTAGGATGTAACCTGTTATCTATTAGCCACTTAACAAAGCAATGTAAATGTTGTGCTAATTTTCTCCCAACCCATTGTTTTTTTCAGGATCTATCATTGGGGATGGCAGCTGGCCGTACTAAAGAGTATGAGGGGTCTACTTCCTTGAAGAAATTGGAGTGAGACACTAACATGCAACAAGTGTAATTGATGATATTATGTTGCAGCATAAGAGAATGGGCCATCTCAATTTTAATTGCCTATCTCGTTTGTTCCCATTCCTTTGTTCAAACATTAACCATGATGTGAGATGTGAAGTGTGTGAACTAGCCAAATGCATCAGAACATCATTACTTAGAGCAAAATATGCATTGACCAAGCCTTTCCTATCCATAGTGACATGTCCAAACCGTACCAAAACAAAATGGTTCATTACCTTAATAAATGACTACACTCACTTTGTACCGAAACAAAATGGTTCATTACCTTGATAGATGACCACACTCACTTTGTGACAAGGCTGAGGCTTCCTTTATGTCTTGGATTGGAAACCCAGATTAGATATTCAAATTGGTCCGGTTTTCACTTATCGCCATTAATTACTCATTCTATAGGTTCGAATTGTTTGAAGGATCATACTATTTTGAACCGTCATGAGCTGTCATTTGAGTTGGAACCTAGAGCGAGTTGAAGAGAACTTCCACTTGCCACTCATATTCCACACTCATAGGCTTTATCTTTCTCTTTGTCTGCCATGGTAGAAAGAACAACAATGAGAGGGAAAAAAAGAGAGGAAGATAATAATGAAGATGAAGAAGGAAAATAAATAACAATAACAAGTAGACCCTACTAACTGCTTTTTATTTCCCTTATTTTCTTCACAATTACAAGTTGCAACTTTCATCCATGGTGTTTTGGAGGTTGCAAAGGATGTGGGTTAGAGAAAAAAGTTGCATCACTCTGCTTTAACAAGACAGAAAGGAAAAGTCATGAAGGCAGAGAGATGATGGGCTCACATTGGGAAGGAGGAAGCAACTTTTTAAATTCATCTGACTCATGTAGGTTGACATGATTTTAACCTTTCACTTTGATTTTTATTTTTTTTATTAATATAAAACATCTCAAATCTTTCATGCGGTTGTGCAACTAATTTCAATGTGATTATAAATATTTGTGCTATCATTTCTTTAAAATTAGTTTTAAATTATAAAATATTTTTTAAATTATCAACTTTTTTCACTTGTAAAATTACATCATCTCCTTGTTTTATATGATATATCATTATCTCATCTTCACTATTTAATATGTATATGATATTTAATGAGGAGGAAGAAGATAAGAAAGGGTTCGTTTAGGCCATTTATATGTTTGTGTATTATATTTGTTGATATTCTATTTTTATTATTTTTGTGTTTGAGTATTTTTTTAATTTTTTAATATTTTGTTTTTCATATGTATTATTTGTACATGATATTATTTTTATCTAATGTATGACATTATTTTTATCTAATTATTAAAGTACTAGTTCGATTGACGGTTTGACTAGTGGAATCATGAAAACCTTGACCAACTAGCCTTTTCGGTTTAATGTTTAGTATGGCTTTTAAAACATTTCTCTTTGTTCATGAATTTCTTTACCATGGGGAAAAACTAATTGAATATGAGAATCTAAGTCTTGTACACCTATACAATGGTGCTAAAAACTTTAACTAAACTTTAAGTGCTTTCCTTAAAATGCATGATATTTTCCGTAAAAGTACTTGTGCCAATAGATGGCAACACAATGAGGTCATATAAAGGAAAAATAGACATATTCTTGTAGTTAATGGAGCACTGATGTTCACTCGCAATGTGCCAAAGTTCTATTGGTGAGATGTTATTTTGACCACAACCTACCTTATCAATCAAATGCCAAGTAAAGTCTTGTCTTGATACTCCTCTCAAAAGATTATAATGTGTCTTTCCCACATTACATCTTGAATCCGATCTTCCTCTTTTTATGTTTGGGTGCACGATCTTTTTTCACATCCACTAAAGCCAGAAACATGAACCTTGTGCTATGAAGTGTATATTTCTTGGGTATTCTCCTATTGAAAAGGGATTCAAATGTTTTGACCTTGTTTTAGAGCTCACTTTTGTAAGCCTTGATGTCACTTTTTATGAGATACTCCTTTCTATCACAATTCTTCGATTCAAGGGGGAGCATGTGTAAATCTCAGACTTGAAAACATGAACCTACAAGAACGGGTACCTCTTGAGCATTGGATTGTACCAATAGAACCATTACCCCCGCCATCACCATTACCTAAATCCTCATCTTCCTTGACCTCATCATCTCTTGTGCCAATCATAGAAGAAAACTCTAGAGGGGGGGGAGATGTAGAAAAGCAACAAAATGAAGATTTGTTGGTTTCTCACTAAAGCATAAATCTAATGAAAGAGAGCACCTTTTACATGAAGTACCTTGCAAAGCTTAGCACAGAGTCCTATTATCGTTAGTTACAAATCTTGGTCATTTCATCAATTGGACGTCAAGAATGCTTTTGTCAACGGTGAATTAGAAAAAGAAGTTTATATGATCCTTCCTCTTGGGTTTGAAAACTGGGGCAAAAGCAACCAGGTTTGCAAGTTGAAAACAATCCTTTTATGGGTTGAGACAATCTCTCAAAGCATGGTTTGATAGATTCTTTAAGGTGCTGAAAAAAGGAGCACTATTAGCCGGGTCAATCTGATCATACGCTTTGTTAGACACAAGTAAGGAAAAAGAGCAATTTTAATTGTCTATGTGAATGCCATTGAGGAAATAGAGTGACTGAAAAAAGTCTTAGCCTTTAAATTTGAAGTTAAAAAGATGTAGACCAAATATGCTATTTTTTGGTTATGGAAGTAGCTAGATTAAGGAGAGGAACATGCATCTGACAAAGAAATATGTCCTTGATCTCAACAGAAATTGGAATGCTTGGTTGTAAGCCAATTGATACTTCTGTCGCAGTCAAAAAGAAGAAAAAGAAAGGAGAAGACAAAGATGAGAAAGAAGAAGAATGCCAACTGGTTGACAAGTTTTTTTTTTTTTGGTTTTGGGGGGGGTGTGCGGCTTAATCACTGTGCTTCAGTCTTTCTGTTTTGCTGGCTATTTCTTCTGTTTCATTAATTATCCATTTATCTGTTCATATTTTATTTTATTCAATAATTATTAGATAAGGATTTTTAGTTAGTATCTGATTGGATTGGACTTAGATTATGGGGACACCTTGAGGCAGCAAAGAGCCTCGGTGTTCTATATGTATTGTTCAGTCACGAAGTAAAACTTCTGAAGCTTAGTTTCAATTGCTGAGGTGATTTTATTTATTTACACTAAGTCATGCCATTATCAAAGATGAAGCGTTTCAATGAGAAAATTCTGTTTTCATTTAAAAAAAATAATAATTATGTCCCAGCCCATCTCTTTAGTTGTGCTCTATTTTCTACTCATCGATTTCGTACCTTATTCTATAGTTTATTATTTTTTGCAGATGGTAAACTGTGTCTAAGCATCATTCAGCCTAGATCAGGAGGTAGCTATGTACGAACAAGATGGTGAGTTTGATAGATATTACTCACTTCATTCATTGTGTTCGTGTTAAACTTTATAGTGGCTCTGTAGAACTGCCAATAGGATCCCTACTTTATTATGATTCTTTGTTGATTGACATTCAGAGTGGAACTTCTTTGGTTGATTGGGACGGGTGATTTGTTTAGGAAAATTTTTGGATGTCCTATTTTAAGGTGACAGTCAAAATATGCATACAGGTTTGAAATGACATATTATTTGAAATGAAAATGATAATATTAATTGATTTTCAAGTAAGAAAGAGACGGTGCAAGAGATGGTATGTTGTGGATCAGGGATCATCTCATGTTTTGTGCTGATCATGTCTCAGATTTTTGGGTAAAACAATACTTGAAAATTGTCAAACATGCTTATATGCTTTTCTTTCTTATGTATAGACAACTAATTTTTTTTTTTTTAATAAACAGGATCCAAACATGTCCTATATTGCTGAAACTTCTTCCCAGTTTTTTTTTTTTTTTTCTTTTTGGCTTTTTTCCCTCTTTTGGCATATACCTGTGCAAAGGACTTTCATAGGTAAATCCATGTTGAAAATTTTTCCATTCTAACTCATTCATGTGAAGAATTGTAAGGAAACTTTGCATGATAAGCTATGTTGATAGACTATTATTGTAGTTTTGCATCAGCCAGTTTAGTTCATTATGATGTTGTCCATAGTGGCTTCCTCTTCTTTACATTTCTGCAGTGAATATTTCTGAATTAATTTGCTTTTTCTTTTTCCATTATGCACAATACATAAAAGCGAATGTGTATTTATTTGTTTTCTGCTTGATGCTTATTGGGAGATCTTTTTCTTCAGAAACCTTTGATTCTAGAGAACGGAAGAAGAGTAGGTATTTGTCCTATCCCTACACAAACATGGGACCAGGACATAAAGGTTTGCCTGTTAAAACAGAAGACTCTGAAACTCCAAGCCACTCTCATCAAATAGAAGGTTCAAGTGTAGCTAATAATCGTTCTAAGAGATCCTGCACGACTGCTAAATCCAGTACGAAGAAATTACGAAGTAAATGGTGCAGAAAACACATCCGGTGGAGTGCTATGTCCAGCGGTCGAGAATTCGGAAAGGCATCTTCATCAGAATTGCTTTCTGGCCTTTACTCTAAAGCTCTTGATTGTAATTTTCCGTGCAAGAATAGAAAATCTGATTTGGTTGAGTGGTTCTTTAGTGCATTTAGATTATCAACATTCCGTGATGAGGCTGAACTTGCTGCTATCCTGGAAAACCGGAAGAGTGGAAATTCAGGGACGCCGGTCAGAAATGATTCATTAAGTGTCAATGGTGAGCAGAAGAAAACGAAAATGGGACAAACACGGAAGCGCAAGAATCAATCCCTTCCTAGCCAATCAGATATGAATAAAGACATTGCTGCAAGTGAATTTCTCTCAAGATGTTCTGCAAAAACAAACAATGAAGGGCTAGGGGAGAGCATGGAAGATGTAAAACCGGCAGTCCAGCTGCAAAATGTTAGGTCAACAACTGGTGTAGGGAGCAGCAGAGGCAAACGTAGTTTAACATCTAAAGCTTCCAGACCTAAAAAGACAAAGAAGTTAGAAGTTTGTCTGGATGATCCAAGAAGTAGATTCTGTTCAAACTCATTTGATGGGGGTGAAAAAAGCAATAAAAGCAGTTCATTTGTAATAGATCTGCAGATGGTGCCCCTACCTAGAAATGGTAGTCCTGAAAAAAGTAATGGTAAGAATAAGGTTGAAGTAGATTTGACAGGTTCAAATCCAGAGTTATATGCCTCCCACATAGATGTTGGAAATCTTGATAATGGATTTTCTCCCAAGAATGCACCAGCAGAGCATCTCAAGACTAACCGTGCGACTGTCATCCCCGATTTAAATGATATTGGCTTTGAGGATATTTCAACCCAGAAGAAACTTGAGGGTGACAATGGCTTTTCTCCTGAGCTGAAAGCTAAACACAAGCAGAGGAAAGACTCAAAACCTAAATCAGAGCTGTCAAGAAGCATTTTTTCTGGTATGGAATTCTTTCAAACAATTAATTACAACAGAATTGAGGTCAATGGATCTTGTCTTCTCCTACAATTTGACCCTGGAGTTTCTTTGCCTTCAAAAGATGATCTATTAGCTACATTTTGTCAATTTGGTCCCTTGAATGTACCAGAAACACAGGTGTCAAAAGATGTTTGTGCTCAAATTTGTTTCTTAAAAGGTGCAGATGCAGAAAAAGCATTTCGTAATCTCAAGCAGAACAGACCATTTGGGGCAACACTTGTTGATCACAATGATTCCTCTGAAACTATTGCACCATTAAAACAATGCGAGCCGATCGCAGGACATTCCGGGTCCAAGCCACCGCATTGTGAAAGACCTTCACTTGAGTTCATTAGGCAGAGTTTGGAGATGATGGCTTCAACCCTTGAGAAGAAAGGGCATACTATTTCTCAGCAAATGAGAGACAAATTAGAGGGAGAGATAAAAAACCTCATGGAAAAGGTGAACTCTATTGGTTCTCCCTCTATGAAAGACTAAACATTAGGATCTGGACCCCAAGTTTAAATTGTTTCCTATTGTTGCATTGACACGTACTTTTCTTGGGCCGCAGCCATTGAATTTATAACCTTCAATTATTTTATAACCAATCATGTTGATTTTGATTGTTAGGACACTGGTTATTAAAAGGTATAAAAAAAAAAAAAGAGATGCAGATGCTAGGATGTCATTTTTTTTTAAATATTATGATCTATAAGCACAATCTTTTGGTTGTGGAAGTGCCATTTTCAAGCTTTACTTTTTATCAATGGAAATTGGATTGAGTAGTAAGAAATTTGATACTTCTTAAATGAGTTATGATGGTTCAAACTTCAAACATTGTAGGTAGAGGAAGCAATGAATATTGAATAATTGTGTCAAAATTGAGAATGGGAAGTAATTTAGAAATGAAGATTTTGACTTGTTTGCTTACATTGTGAAAGATTGTGAAAGATTGTAGTTTTTTGGTGATGCTTCACACTTTAAACAATCATTTCCTTTGCTTCTACTGTAGCTGGTACTGGCAATTAAACTTGCAACCTCAAGGTGAATACTTTTTGCAGCTTGTATATTAAAAAAATAAAAAGGGTTTTTGCAGCTTAACATGAAATCCCAAATATGCTAGTATAGAGGTAAGAGTATCCATGTAAAATTTTGGTAGCCAAGCTTTGGGTTCAGACTTTCCTTGGCCCCCCCGATTTAATTGGTTGTTGGCGTTGAAGTTCTGGTGAGAATTCGACATGGGCCGCTAACAAAAGTGGGACTCTGGTGAAGATGGGAAGGATGGAATTTTTTTTTTTTTAAAAAAGGTATTGCAGTCATTTCCGACCTTAAATTATTTCTGAATTAATTTTCTGGTCAGTGAAATATCAAAATGAAAAAATAATAATTAACGACCTCATAAGATCATTAATTACAATTAAGGATATTGAATTATTAAAACCAATAATGAGCCATAATCCTTACTTGAAATTAAAAATATGAGTTTAAAATTAAGAAAAGAAATTACTGAAATTATTAGTATGAGTTAGGATTATTGTTAATTTTAGTTAAGAAAATTAGGAACCACAATTAAGAATGAGTTATTTTTTAATATGAAATTAAAATTCACTTATCAAATTTTCGAAAAGTACTTGTGAGTATTAATTGAAAAGTTACCAAGGTCACTTTTTGAATATAAAATTAATCACTTGTAAATTTTTTTGCGTATCCAATATATAGGTAAACCACTAGAAAAATCAATAAGAAATGCTATCGGCATCAATATCATAGGTTGTGACTATTGTTGATTTTAACGGGAAAAATCAAAATCCCAAGTATTATGGGTTGGGACTATTGAAATTATTATTATGGTTGGAATGATTGTTAATGCTATTCTCAAGTGTGATTTTGGCTTTCCCAACTATAATCAATGATAGTTCTAATTCATAATAGTATTTTTAATAGTATATTTTATTGATTAAAAACTCATGTTTTTAGTTTCAAGTGAAGACCATAGTTTATTATTGAGATATAAATAATTCAGGATTTTTAATTGTAATTAAATATATTATGGGATCCTGGATTGTCATTTTTCCTATCAAATTTTTTTGGTCCTTTGAGGCTCTTAAGTCTTCCGGCTCTCATTGCCTGTGAATTTTTCTAGAATTTTCTCAACCTAATCTACTAAGAGTTTGTTTGGGTTAAAACAACTGTGTTTTGCAACTTGTAAAGTGAAACAAACTAAACAATCTCTCTCTGTCTCTCTCTCTCTCTCTCTCTCTCTCACACACACACACACACACACACCGCTCGATTTGTAAAATACACAATACTTTTTAAAATATTTGGTTTCAAATAATCATATATAAGATATCAAAGAATTGGAAGCCTTCTCTCATCCATATGCCAACAAATTGAGATTAAATAATTAGATTCTATGAAATTACTAGATCTTTTTTACCCCACTAGTAAACGAATTTGAAAGGGACCAAACCATCCGATGCTTGGACTAGGCACATTACAGAGCAATACTAGCCACATCTTATTTTGTTTATATTATTAGAAAGAACAAGAAACGACCCAACACAACATAAAGCAACATCAAGAAAAATGAGAGAAAACAGAGTCCATAACTTTTCTTTATGAAATCTCTTTTACGAATATCAAGATCTCAATTCCTAGAATTGCATTTTTGTCGCTTACTTATGGACTGTGACCTCACATTCATTCATTTTAGCTTTCCTCATGTCTTGACTAATGATGGTACATAGGACTTTAAATGAAAGGATGGTTGCCTAATCGTCATTCCCCACCCCGCCTCTCTTTCTTCAATAATATTATTGCTATAATAATAAGATGATCATGATGATTGCATAATGGAAAATCAATGTGAACATTATATTTTATCTAGGTATTCTAAAATAATAAAAGAAAACAAAAATTTGTGCCTCATGTTTTTTTTTTGGTTCATTTAATTTGAGTAAATCTTATGAGTGGAAGTTCAAAAATAAAAAGAGGGGAAAAACAATAAATATCAAAGAATTTTGAATTGTAAAAGGTTGAAAATTCGGATAGTATTAAGAGGGAATTCTTTTACATTAGATTTGTATACTCCTTCTAGTCCAAAATATAAACATTTTTTCTCAACTAATCTTGATTCAAAATATAAACAACTTAGTATATATAATTTTTTTTCATTTTACCCCTTATATTTATTAATTTAGATATTTGTGTAAATGCATATCTCATTCATTATAAAGTACGTTAGTAATTAGAACTAGGAGTTAAAAAAAACACAAATATATAATTTTATGAGAATGATGACTTTATTGGTATGCAGATTTTTTTTAAAAAAATACCTATATTTTGAATCATAAGAAGTATTTGTTAAGGAAGTTCATGACTTTATGTAACCCGGCTACTTAGGATGTTGGCTCGACCTAGTAAAATTTCACCTAACTTAATTAAAAAAAAAGTAACCTAAAAAGATTTGGTCATGTTCAGGCCACACAGCAAGGTATGCTTCCCTGCCTATTTGGCCTTACCCCAACAATATATATATTTATATAATATCTTTATTTTTTATATATAAAATATTAATGTTAAATTGCGCATGCATTTAGCCAATGATGAGATAAAGGAGAACTCCTAGAACATTAAAATAATCCTTGACTCCTTTCATTAAAAATTACATATATAAACCCTAAACTAAAACTCACGTTGATACTTTTGTTATGTTTAAGCTGTCATCATTACCACCACCACCACTACCATTACCTCCTCTCTCTCCCCTCCTCTGCAGACACTTTGTGGCATATTAATTAACTTATATTTGTTTTTTGTATTTTTTTATGCTCCTCTTTTTATATTAATAAATTTATAATTGATTCTACTATTAGATTTTTTTCTTTCTTTCTTTCTTTTACCATCACTTGGATAGGATAGTTTGATGTTTCTTAGCTCATTTTTCCCAGCTGAAAATTCTTGAGCATCTTAAGGGAAAGGCTGGACAGCAAGCTACAGAATACAGCCTGTTCATACTTCAAGCTAGGACCTAGCTTAGCCCTGCTCATGTCTAGTTGTAATATTTGTAGATCAAATCTCAGGTGGGACCAATAAAGGCATTTATCAATAAAATATCTTAAAATACCATCAATTATTTAAGCCTTATTTATTAATGACTACCCAACGATCAAGATTGAAATTTTGGTGCACAATTGGCAAAAGTTAGTTTATTAAAAATTCACTTGATAAAATTTAATTTAGTAAAAGTTAGTTATCATATCAAAATTCATGTTTGGATATTTTTTTTATAATCAATTTAATAAATTGAAAGTTGTTTATATTTCATATAATTGAAATTTTTTTAATGTATTATTTTTTTAATAATGTAATGATTGCCTGACTTTACCAAAACTGTAACCCCACATCACACATAACAGTAATTAGGAATCCCTAACTCCTAAATTACTAAATTCATAAATATTAAAAATATATGAATTAATTCTTTTAAAATGGTTGGGATCTTAAAAATTTTTGAAAAACAAGTTAAAATGCCAAAACATATGTATTTATGCACAACAAAAATGTTTAAGAATACCAAATGGTAGAAAATAAGGGTAGAATAGTTATTTTCACCCAAAATGGTTCATATATTGCGACATGTGGTATAGATAACAAAATCACGTCTCTATGTCATACGTTGCAGTGCACATGACAAATTTTGCTATCACGACAGTTTGACTAATATAAACTTTCAGTGTGTACCATTTCCACATATCATATCAATTGAAGTGAGTCAAGTGCTCACATATAGCTTATTTCATAATCTAACTAAACATAAGTTTCACCTCAATCTGATGTTTCTTTTAAATATTGAACTCTTGGATGCAAAATAATCATTCTATGTCATTTTCTCACACCTAAGTGTTCTAAATCAAATCCTTGTGTCATTAGCCACTACTAGATCCTTGACCACATCCAATGGCACATTTTCCACCTAATTGAACGTTTATATCAACAAAAACACAATTACATTCAAATTTGGCCACTCAAATGTCCTTTTACACTTCACAATAGGGCCTACTTCACATACTTGGCCAAATTTCATACATTCATCAACTTAAAACACATAATTTTGTACTTGTATTAGTATCTCATCCTGTATTGTCACATTTCACACAAATTCACATTTTCGGGTTAAGATACTCACACACAATCTTAATGGGTAATGCAATAGATCCACTACTCCTAAGCCCTTTCTCTCCCTTTGCTATTATCCATATTTGAACTTGTGAAATAGTAACCACAAGGTAAGATAGAGTCTCAGTAACCAAAATAATTGAAATCGATCTATTAATAAGTAAAACTATAAACAAGTAAACAAAACGTAATTATTCCCAATTATACTAATATATACATGTCCATATTCATAAATGATCATATTCTCATGCATGATCATCCTATCCAACCGAACCTCCACATCTACCCCGACCAAATTCATAGGCTTCGCTTGACCAATTTTATATAAACTGATTCAAGTTTACCTTTCATGGTTGAACAACCTAGCCAAATACGTTCTATTCGATATCCAGATTATAGGTTCCCCTTATCACACGTGCAGTTGAGGTATCGTTATTCCAACACCACA